TTACGCGCTCAAATCGAACCGGAGCTAGGGTTTTTCTTCTTCACTATGGCAGAGCTTAAAACCCTAGCAGACTCTGTGAAACATTCTCAGGTTCTCTTTCCGATGAACCTTGATTGGTTATTCGCCATTCTTCAAAGTTTCAACCTTTATTTGGGTTGGGCCGTAAACGGGCCAAAACTTGCCTATCATATACAAACTGGCCCAAAACTCATAATTAAGAATGTGGGCCCCACCCATATTAAATCGGAGCCGTAGATTTGCGTCTGTGGATCAAGGTAAGAAAGGGTTGTGATTATGCAAATTGCAATGCATCAAAATCACGTTTTTCAAAAGCAATTAACTTATTTTTTTTGTTCTGAATAAATTTGAGTTACTATGTCATTCACATGTCTTTTGCTCCGTTTATCACTTCATCTCTCTCTTCCTTTTAGAAATAAAAAATAAAACTTTCCTAACACATTTTCCTGCAATTTCACATAACCGAAGAACACATAGACACTCATATGTATGAATTGCTTGACGAATAAAAAATAAAACTTGGTATAAGTTGCAAAACCTTGAGTATGGAATGTAAAGTTTGCTGGCTGCTCTGCTCTTTGAATATGGAGTGTAGCAAATAGGCGTTTCACTGATGTTTCAACTTCTGAAATTTCTGCAACAATATTATACATTTATGTTTATAACACAGATTCTGAATGTGTGGGATGAGAGATATAAGAAAATTGATGAGCTATCTGCAAAGCTTTGTTAGAAATTTATAATATTTATATTTAATTTTTTAATAATTAAATGGAAATTAAATTGTGGGATCTGTGATATGACTTTTACAAATTGGTATATATCAATTGGGAAACATTGCACTATTTGGATGTTCTCAGAATAGAGAGTTGCATTCGCTTTTCCTGGGGATTAGAGTGTTACTTCAACAAGAAGTCGACCGTTGTATTCTAGGAGACGTTTGTCAGGCAAATCTTAAAAGCACCTGTGAGGAGGTAATTTCGTCTTAAGGAGATAGAACCAAGTTCTAGACTCGATCATTTGTAAAGTATTCATAATTTTCTTATATTTATTTTGAATTTATAGTGAAATTTTATTTTCGAAATTCTGTAAAAATAGTAATTATCTTTATATTTTACCAACAAGCTTCACTGTGAGAATTGGCATTAAACCAAACATGGTTAACTGAGAATGTAAAAGAGATTGAAGTTGAGGATGAAGAGAAACTATAACAGTGTTATTTATAGCATATCTCTTTTTCTGTTTCATAATAGTTATTGTTTTTTACAGTTCCTTCCTTGTACAGCTTGATAGTTCGTGAGAATCAACTAGGTTAAAATGATTCCTAATTGTCAAAGATGTCACAATGAGAGCACTATGGTCTTATGATCTAGCATAACTGCATTAGAGGTGATGCTTGGAATTGCCTCTAGATAACCAAAAGTGCTTTTTGACATTATTTGGAAAAAAGAGAGAGTCTAAAAGTGCTTATGAGTTATAAAAATACTTGGAAGTGTTTTCTAAACTAGAATTATAATCATCCAAAGTGGAATTAAGCTTCGCACGCAGCCCCTGCTGTCGATTCATCATTGAAAATAACTTGGTCTGTTATTCAGTTGATTCTATAATAATATCATTCAAGAATCACTGTAATGGATGCTACCTAGCGAAGCTATAAGTCAATCTTTGTCGCATGAAGCAAAGCGTCCTCCTGGCTTCTGTAAATTTAGAAGTTTTTTTTTTTGTGTTCCACCGGTGCCTTAAGGCCTAATCCTTTGCAATATTTTGACCTGGAAAAAGGGTATGTGTTCTTATTTCCAGTCATTTTACTTTTGTGAACAATTTTTTTGGTATATTAGATGAAATCCAACTAATAACCTATTTTGAAGTTCCTAACCATATTTCTCTAATGTTTTTGGTAAAATAGGCATATACAATGTTTCTATTACAACAAGAACAATGCCGATATCAATAGTAGGATGATGTTATTTTATCGATCTTTTTTGTCGTAAGTTACAAATGAAAATTAACATGATTAATAATTTAGAATCATAATTTAACAATATCCATAAACATTTAACTTACTGCACACTATTGATAAAACATTTCTCCGAGCTTTTATAATCCCATTAATAGGCAAGAATTTTGTCAATCACGTGGCCATGACTATTTCTTTCTTGAACGTCTGCATCAACTTTATAGGTCAAGGAAATTGATGCTTTAAAAAAGAAAAAAAATAATTGAAACAAACCCCACCCTTTTCCAATGCTTTCATCTCTCTCTCACCCAACCAAAATGTCAAAAAACTTAAAACCCAACCCAAAAGGTGCAACACAAACTTACAATAAAGGCAACAAAAGCAAAGCATCTTCCCTTGGGCCCTTCCCTCTTCTTTCCTTCTCTCTCCCAAGAACCAACATAAAACCCTGCAAGCAACAACAGAGCAACAAAATAAAAGGAAATTCATAAACCCAACAAGCAACAACAGAGCAACAAAATAAAAGGAAATTCATAAACCCAACAAGCAACATTACAATTTCAAAGCCATGGATGAGTATAGCACACAATCTCTCTCTCTCTCTCTCATTTCAATTTCAAGCTTTCATCTGCAAATTAACCTCTAAGCTGAAAAATTGATCATCTTTTGTTGTTTCTTCTCCTAATTTCCAGATCTGATGACTACCCAAAAGAGTGTTACACCCAAGAAGGCCGGAGAGTGATGTCATCTTCATCCACCACAAGCGTCCACGTCACGGCTCTGGACGGCCTGGTCAACGTCAACTCACTCTTCACCATCGCAGTCTTCGTGGGTCTGTCTCTGACAACACCAGGACAGAGAAGCCTCGAGGGCAAGACAGCCTGCGACGCCGGAATCGACGTGGCCAAGAAGCTCCTGGTCTTCGAGGTTGTCTCCTTCAGCTTCTTCCTCTTCTCTTCTCTGGTGGCGCAGGGCCTCAAGCTGGCAATCAACTTGCTCAACAGCAAGGATGTCGACGAGGCCTTCCGGGCCCACATCAATCTCAAAGTCTTGAGATTTGGGATGATGGGTTCGGCTTTCGGGTCGGTGATGGGCTGTGTGTTTTTGATGCTGTCAATGGTGGATGTGATTCAGATCAGGTTAGGGATGTTGTCTTGTGGAAGCAAATCTGCTGTGCATTCTGTTGTGGCTCTTGTCGTTTTGGTTTCCACAGCTCTTTTGGTCTATATTTCCACTGCTGTCTATGCTTTTCTTCATTAGCTGAAGCCCAATTTTATATATATGTTTCTTGTTCAGTATCATATTTTGTATATTTGCCTCTCTGGGTTTTGTCAATTGGTCTTTGTTTTGTCTCATTTTGTTTACAAGAGACGGTTTTGACTGGCCTTTGTTTGAAACCTCTGTTTTGGTTGGAAGAGAAATCTGCAAAAGATGGTAACTTTTAGCTGCTTCTTTTGAGTACTCAGCTGATTAATGTTGGTTGGATTGGATATCTGGGTTATGGTCAGTTTCTAGGATTGCTTGGTTAATGTTGGCTGGCAGAAGCTGCAATTTCACTCAAATTAGCTGCTGATGCAATGTTGTTTAAGTTTGTCAGACACCATCACATGATTTTCCTGCCCTTTTGTGGTTTTTGGTGTCTGTTTCTTTCTGTGTTCGTTTGTGCTTGGTTTTTCACTGTCTGCTCTGCCCTGCATTCTGATTTTCAAGCCAAAAAAAAGATGACTTAATCTCGGGAGAGTGGCGTTATTAAGTTGGATTTCTGTTGCAGAAAGGAGGTTTTTTTGGTTTACATATGATATTGGTTTTAGTTGCATTTGAGACCCTTATTTTTTGTTTCCTTAACGTTTCTACCAACATTGGACTCGAACCAGGGTCTCATGGCGTCCCCTGGTCAATAGTTTGCTTTGTCTCCACATAACTCGTGCGTGACTTGAGACTTGATGAGCCTCATTAAAAAAAGGAAAAAAGAAGAAGAGCATATTCTGATCTCATTTTCTATTTTCAAGTCCTTTCCCCGTCTCCCTTCTTTTGACCACATCAGTGATCAGAGCCAACTAGAAGGAGAAAAACTTTCATTTACGGGGATAGTACTGTTTTGCTATATCATCCAATTACGTTTTGCAACGTGTGATAAGGATTACACATGGTGAAACATGATTGGATGGAGATAGCAAATCAATGCTAACCTCTTGAGATTCAAGTTTTTCGCAGCTAGATGAGCTCATCCTCTTAGCTTTCTGGAATAGAAGTGTATTGAAAGCCCCCAGGGCCCCCACCAAATGGTGATTGATAATAGCCATTAAAATACACTTTGGCAAGCACCAGCTGGTTGATTGAGACAGAAAAGAAAAACAGGAGTAGGTGTAAATTGATCTCTGAAATTTTCCAACTTCGGCTTGTGTATTGAAAGCCCCCAGCGGCCCGACCAAATGGTGATTGATAATGGCCATGAAAATACACTTTGGCAAGCACCAGCTGGTTTATTGAGACAGAAAAGAAAAACAGGAGTAGGTGTAAATTGATCTCTCTGAAATTTTCCAACTTGGGCTTGTGTGGCTTTTGGATGGAAACTCAGTTATGGAGAGTATACAAATGATACTGTTCCTCCATTCCCGCCGTGTCTTTTCTGGGACCAAAGCATATAACTTGGAAGAAGCCGTTACGCTTTAGAGGCACAAAACCTATAAGCAAAGAAACAAGTTGTTTTCACGTAAATCCAAGGATTAGCAAAATGGGATTTGCAAGCTCAGATATTGCAACTTGATGGGTCCAGGCTGGCCAGCCCCTACATATCCGAAACACAAATTCCCCAAAATCATGAACAATACTTGATACAATCAAATGTTGTTCATAATTTTGGGGTCATATTAGAAATTAACACCTCCGAGCTCTCCTTCTGGAAGCGCATAATGATGGGATGGAGCTCTCCTTCTGGTAGCGCATAATGATGGGATGGCGAAAACGAGTGAAAGTAACACGTTATACCAAATGAAACTGAAGAAAAACAAGCGGGGAACACTAGTTTACAGAGTTAGAACATCTTGCTAATTATAGGTATGCTATTTTTACAACTACAGGCTAATTCAGAAAAGAAAGAAAAGGATAAACTACAGGGTTATTCAGTCTATGCTCAACCTAAAACTGAGATTTACAGTCCTGAATACAAGCAACAGCACGTGAAAGGAATTGTACAAAAATGGTCAGCTGAACAAATAGAACAGCCTTTAACTGTTTGAGGGTGCCACCCTCTTCGATTCAATTTCTTTCACGCTTTGGACTATACCGTCAATGTTTCTTGAGAGGTGATTTGAATGTTCTTCCATCTCTCTCAAAACCATATCAAGTTGTTCTTGATAGGCTGCAGATCTCTTCCGCTCACGTTGTAACTCAGCCATCAACTCCCGAATTTTCACATCTTTTTCGTCCTGGAACATACCCACAGGAAGAAAAAATAAGAAAGCAAACAGACAATGCATGGTAAACATTGATTGTCAGTGAAAATATTATGGTAACAGAATGCAAAGAACTCTTCCCATGCCGTCATAAACATACATCAAGTATCTGCTAGATGGCTTTACCAAGAAGTGATCAACTATATAAAGTGCTTGCTTCAACCATTATAAACTAGAGCACAATACCAAAGGATACAATTATAAACTTGAACTGACCAGAATACAGACACCTACTATAATAGATCACAGAAACGGATTAGAGAAGCAAATATGGCACATGAAGGGACCTGTACAAATTCTAATAAAGGTTACTACTAGAGTTGAGTGGGGAGCTATTTCTTTATATATTTGTTTATAATTACTTGAGTAAGTTTAAGTTTTAGATTGAATATCAAAATTGATTTTAACAATTTGGGGGTGAAGAAGCATGAGTTGTCTAGTATCTGAACTATAAACTTAGAGCAATGAAACAATTGAAACTACAACATAGAGTAACCTTTTTAAGCAAGAGGCAACTGCTAACTTCATCCAATTAACCAGAATTACTAATATCATGTAAGACACATCACAAAAGTAACTTTCCAACTTGTAAGAACTCCAAACCACTTCCAGGCAACAGACTGCAGCAAATCTCAGGTTCTTTAGATACTAGAACATCTGATGCACTTCCAAATCTATAGGGTAACATCACAGATACTAGATAATCCACTAACTTAAGCCACACAAATCACAATGCATCTCAAATGTCACCAAATAAATCTGTAAACTACAGTTCAGCAACTCACAAATGCAGATTAGATAAAATAAGGCGACATAGACAAATAGAATTTGAATGAGAGAAATCTTATCGAGTACTCACTGGTGTTTGAGATAGAAGCACAGTGCGACGACCATTTGCAGGTGTAACCACCAGTGGATGGTTATGCTCCTTTACAAATCTTGTTACTATCCATTTTCCCGATTTTTCTTTCTTTACCACTATCATTGCTTTACACCCTTCTCTGGTGATTGCTCGAGGCTTCCTATTCTCACTTCTTTTGGGTCTTGTCTTACGAAATCCCTCTTTATTACACACAAGCCTACGCCAAACTACCTTACCATCACGCATGGATCTTCGGAAGGCATCAACACGCATGATGAACCCCAAGTGTGTTGCATATGCGTCATAGAACACTTTGGCAGCCTCTTCGGATTCGAACTCCATACCCACATATGGTTCCATATCTGAATTCCCCTCAGATGTGACTGCATCTTTTCCATTGGAACCCTCTATCACATCCTCATCCTTGCTCATAGAAGATTGTTCATCCACTGCCAAATAGACATCGTTCTAAGGTTCAATTTTCGGGAACTCAAGCAAGACAGAGACTTTGAGGGTGAAAATGTACTCTTATACCAAAGCTAGTTCAATGCATAATTAATCGTGTAAAGTCTCACATTATAATGTTACAGAAACGAGTAAACTAGTTTCTGAATTTTCAGGAACTACTTCCACGGAAATTCATTTTACGAATGTAACAAGTCAAATGACATCTGTTGAATACCACAACTATATCTAATCCAACCACATGAAACAGCAAACAAATTATTCCAAAGCAAGCTCATTTATAAAGAATTCGACTTTATACAAAAATAAGCTCAAAATCAATTGTCAAAGAAATTGAACTGAACATGTTTTGAATGCTGGGTACATAGTTTGGTTCTATTTGGCTGCTCAGAAAAGACAAGAGAGAAGTCATATCAGACTGGAAATGTGACAAGCAAGCTAAAATTGGGGTTGCTGAATTTTAAGTTGCCCAACTTTTAACTCATCGTTTTAAATCATTTCTCAGCAGCCAAAGAGAGTGGAAATTCAAAAATGGAAAACAAAAGAATCTAAGCTTTAAACCAAGTGCAGATTAATGAATGTTTAGACAAATTAAGAGAAGTGCTAAAAGAAAAGGACTCACTCACTTGTTTTAAGAGAGAGATCCTGACCCAGTAGTTTGCTTAGCTTCCACAATAGAGAGAGAGAGAGAGAGAGAGAGCGAGACAAAAGGTCGTTCCTTTTTCCCTGTTCTTTCTTAGGAGGTGGCGGTTGAAACGTTTCAGAGAGGTCTCGGAGCTCAAAGACCAGAGGGGTGTGGCAGGCAGATAGAGAATAATGATCCTCTACGGCGAAGAACAGGGTCCTTCTGTACGGATTACTGTTTTTCTTTTCTTAATTTTTTTTATTCTTTCTAATAATTATCTATATCCTTTGTGTTAAAAATAAAAGTTAAATAGCCTTTCTATTTGACAAAAATAGAAGCCCCTCTTTTATCAATTATCATCTACATAAACCGGTAAATATGAGTTAGGCTAGTTGATTAAGGCGGGATATCTATTGTGTTATCAAGTTTGTTTATATCTCCGGATATTTTTTTATTTGATAAAAACAAGGAAGGAGATTCAAACTTGGATGCAAGGAAAGAAGACGAATTTACTGCCTCAACCAACTGACCTAATCCATTTTTACCTTGCTGAACATTAAAAATAATTTAAAATATTGTTTTCTTCAAAAAATTTAAATTAAAAAAAATACTGTGAGCCCAGCCCATTTCAGAACCTCCTAAAACTATATAGCCCACACCACCTAAAAATGCCGAAATAGCCAACGGGTAGGACTTTGATTTGCAAATAAGAGATCTCAGGTTCGAATCCCACAACATAACATAGCTGTGTGTGTAAGAAATTCTAAGGCCAAAACAATAAAATAAAAATAAAATAAAAGAAGAAAAGAAATCGATTTCACTACTCACTTACATTTGAGCAGTCTCTATCTTCGTCTCGATCAGTCCATGAAAGCCAGAAGAAGATCTTCAGCTTCCGATATCAGTCCGAAGCACTTCGATTATTTTTTAATTAAAGTAAGTTTCTTTCTTTTCTCTCTCTCCCACTCTACCAGTCTTTCAACTCCAATTTTTTTCCTTCAATTTTTTATTTTATTTTATTTATAATTATAACCAATCTATATATTCTTACCTCTTGTTCCCTCCAAATGCTTCTAACTACTCGAAAATGCTTGCAAAGTTGTTTAATTTTTCTGAGAAATATAGGTCATGCAATCTATTCATTGACGATAAAGTGTGGGAAAGTGGAAAAAACATTGTTTTTAGATTCTCAGATCTCTGGTTATTTCATAGATAACATTCAACTGAGCATTCTAGAACTATTTTTGGAAATTGCAGCTTGTTGCTCAAATTTGTGTTTTGGAGTTTGTTTATTTGTATTGTTTTGGGCTATTGGTCCAAGAATTTTTCTTCTGGATATTAAACATTGGGTTATTGGTCCAATTTCATGAAGGCTTTACCTTTTGAGTTAAACTAGTACTTCTCCTTTTAGTATGACGAAAAATCCCCATGAGAAAATGACCCAAGTATTAGAAAAGTAATTTCATGATATTGTTTGAAAGTAATGTGGTGTGTAGATTTCTTTAGTTCAATTGAGATCTTTATGGAGTATTAAGTGTGTTACATTCGTTTTAATAACAAATTACGTATATAATACACCCGTAAAGATGTTTATGGATTCTATTACATGATTTATGACAGTGGATTTGGAAAGGGAAGCCGGGGCGGTAGATGAGTCTGTTGAAATGGCAATAGTTGCTTCAGAAGGTCCAATTCCGGAACCTTATGTGGGTATGGAATTCGATTCTGAAGATGCCGCCAGGAAATACTATACTGATTATGCCAGACAGGTCGGATTTGTTGTTCGTGTTATGCAGCGTCGTCGATCAGGCATTGATGGGAGAACTCTTGCCCGTCGGCTTGGGTGTAACAAACAAGGGTTTTCTCCTAACCAGAAGGGGAAATTTGGACCTGAGAAAAAGCCTAGACCTAGTGCACGAGAGGGTTGCAATGCAACAATCTTGGTGAAGATGGAAAAATCTGGAAAATGGGTTGTTACAAGATTTGTACAGGATCATAATCATCCTCTGGTTGTTACTGCCAGTGGTTTTAGCACAGCGGTGAGCTTATTTAAAATATTTAACTGCTTCAACAATCTTCTCCTTTATTCATCACATCTCATTGAATTTTCAAGATCATTGTTTTTCGCTTTTGATTTTTGCCCCTTCTTTGCCACATCAAAGCCTGGTTCCCTCATATTAAGGTGTATCATAAGTTGTTGAATGAACTACTGATTGAACAAGTTTCAAGCAGAAAAAGGAGAATGAGTTTGGAAGATTTCTAGTGATGTTCAGGAATGACGTTCACGAATAAACTTTAGAATTATGTGAAAGTGGTCTCATGACCAAGCAAGTATAGTTTAGGAAGCCCTTTCCCAACTAAAGCCTTGAATTCAACAGTTGAAACCTAAAAGTGGGATATCAAAACTTTGTGATTTTTTTTTGGTTTCGCTTACGATTATTAATTTTTAATAGGTGTGATATACTTTGAATTAGTTCAGTTTCCGCAGATGAGTTATTTGCTTATTGATAATTGCAGGGTGATAAGGATAGGAAAATTGAGGAACTTATGATGGAGTTGGAGCGTCAAGATCAACTATGTGCAGGTTATAGAGAAAAACTTCTCAGTTTTATGAATAACGTTGAAGCAGAAACGGAAGAACTGTCGGAAAAGATACAAGTTATAGTTGACAATGTGAGAAAAGTTGAATCTGAAGTGCAAAAACATTCTCGTCGTAGATAGCCTTGCAAGTTAACACTAGGATTTATTTGCCACTTATTCGCATTCAGCTCCATCCAAGAATGTACAGTTTTTATTAGAATTAGTCTCTTTTATGACAGATAGAAAAGTCCTTTTTTTCACAAATAGAAAAGTCCTTTTTTTCTTAGGTTGACCTCAAACTTTAATCGTTTCATTAGATTAAACGAAAGGTTCATGACTCTTTTATCATAATTGCAGCTTCAGTATAATACTCTCAGTATCTGCAATAAGAGGGATTCAACAATTCCTTTTTCACCACATGATTGTTAATATTGCAGTGATGTTGAATTAGAAAGTAGGATTAATTTCAGTTCAATACTAATAGGCTTAAGGGTGTAAGTTCAGGGTGCTAAATTAAAATTAACACTAGAAAATATATATTTTCGAATGGAAATATCGATTTCTGGATTGAAAAGAAAAGAAATCATTAGTAAATTAAAAATAAGTGTAGGAACAAGGCCAAAAGGGCCACCCTGGCCAGTGGGAGGGCAAAGCAATTGTTTGCCTTATAGGTATTCCGTTCACTAAATTATTCATGTTCAATTCAAGACATTTTCTGAGATTGCTTGTGGTATAAATGGGCCAAGCTCACTCATCTATACTGTATGTTAATCTGTCAAAATACTCTCAAAAGGAGAAACATTAGTTGAATCCATCCTCATACCACTAATATGCACAGAGCCATACTTCTTTCTTTAATTGTCGTCCAGTTCATTTTGTGGAAGTCTTTCAACTTCAGTCTCAAATTCTCTTACATCGTTAACGATTCCGCTAACTTTCATGGATATCAGTTCTGTTTGCTCCTCAACATTATCCAGCAATGTAAGTAGTAGCCCATGATATAGTTCACATAACTGATCTTCACGCTCCAGCTCCATAGTGAGTTGCTCAATCTTCATATCCCTTTCATCCTAAGAATGTATATTTGAAAACAAATCAGATTCTGAGGTTAAAGGCAAATGCAGTTTCACAATCACGTACCTATGTGCACTTTTAGATCCTTTGTCAAACTCTATTTCCTAATAGCAGAAATAACACTAAAGTCAAGAGATTCATCATCTTAGAAGTAAAACAGAAAGAAAAATACTCCTATCCTGATCAATTATGATCCAATTCCCAGGACCGTCGAAAACTAGGTCTGTGAAACTCCATTGCATGGAAAAGTTGGCCTGTAAAATTTGCTTCTCCTTGAAAACCTCAGGGGCCTCGTTTCTAGAGCAGCTAGTGAATTACATTGACGGCAACCATGATACTTATAGCAGGGATGAGGAATCTAAAGCACTTAGCCTGATTAAAAAGTACATAAACCATGATTTTGATATTTTGAAATTTTCGTTTCAGCACCACAGTAAATAAGCAAAGTTCAATCAATCATGTTTCTCCTCCTGCTTTAGAAGTTCCATGAGAGTAACGAGCGTAGAGTAACGAGAACTAACTCAAAACTTCACATAAAAGTTTACAGTAATGGTTACTTTTTCTTGAAAATAGATTAGATACACTTACCATAGAAATCCCAGAAGAAACTATAAGCGGATGAGTATGGTCCTTAACAACTCTTGTAACAACCCATTTTCCAGATTTATTAACTTTGACCAGCATCATTGCTTTACACCCTTCTCTTGTGCTAGGTCGTGGTCTCCGAACTGGCCGGACTTGATCTCTAGGTTTTACATAACGCCCTTGCTTATTGCAGGAGAGCCTACGGGAAAGAATTCTCTTGTCAACATCTGATCGCCGACACTGATCTATACGCATGATGAACCCTACATGCCTTGCATATTCACTATAAAAATCCTTGGCAGCATCTTCAGAGTCAAATTCCATACCAACATATGGTTCTGCAACTGCATTCAAGTCCCTTTCGGCAGAAGTTTCAGGTGCTCCAGCTGTCACATTCAAATTCAGTATCACACATCACCACAATCTATTATATTCGACAAACATAATCTCTCTCTCTCTCTCTCTCTCTCTCTCTCTCAACATACTAGAAAATTGCATCTATTGATTTTCCTCCTACAGTGAAGACTTATATGCTTTTTTTGAATGCCAAAATTCATTCTTCCTCATGAACCACACTGCTGAAAACTAAATACTTATAGTAGAAAAAAGTTTTTGAGAAGTCTGAAAGAATTTGTTTTATTGTTGTATTTGAAGTTCATATACATCAGGTGAGGTTGGAATCACTACGAAGGTTCCTAAACATTGTAATCACAGAAATTGAAGCCAAGCTCATGGCTAACATATTACAGACAATCGTTCCAGCACAATGTTTCTGATCTCTTTCTTTCTCTCTGAGCATCAGGTCACTAAAAAAATAAGTCACACAAAGTCTCCTCTACACCCAATCAATACACAGCCAAAAAAGAGGTTTTGTTAAAATTTTTTTTATTTTTTTATAACCATAATCGAGTTAAAAAGTTCACATCTTTCGATTTTAAAGAGCTTTTGGTTCACTTTTGTTTGGGGGTTTCAGAAGTTTCTGTACACTCCAAGACCAAAAAAGGTAAAACCCAGAACAGATTTCTATATGACAAGATTGAAATTTCTTTCAGAATTCTCTGCAACCGAACACAAACAAGGCAACATGAATTTTGGCCACCGTATGGAAGAAAAAACCAATACGAATTTACTTGACGGAAGAAAGCTAGCAGTGTACTTACTGGGTTTCGGGTCGTTACTTAGCAAATCAAGCCAAGGTCTTGGTCTTCCGTTCTCCATTTTACGTTTCACAAATGGTTTCAGCAAAGCTCACAGCTTCCGCCTTCACTGCACACATCACCCGCATCCAATATCAAAGAATTACTCAAAAGCCAACGTCGTATGGCACCCAAACGACATCATTGTACTAGTCGTTTTGTAACTGTGGCTCTGTATTGGACTAACTTGTGCAGTCCAAGCCCAACTCTCATAAGTGGACACTACAATTCTACGCTGTATTGGACTAACTTTTTCCGTTTGTTTCCATAGAAAATGAATGAGAAGTGGTAAAGATTGAATTTTGGTGCTTCTCACCGCGCAATTTGTTGAGAATCTTATGTCAGGTATGGATTTCTCTTGCGGTTTATATTTTTCATGCGTTCTTGGTTTCCAAATTGAGATTAGAATGGGATGGGATTTTAAAAAAAGTTCCAATTTTTCCGAATGATTTTATCTGGGTTTTCATTTTTCTGATATATACTTCGTCGGTGTATTTGTTTTCGTAATATAAGACTAGATTGGGTAGTTTTCTTGAAAAGAAACTACAAAATGGAGTAGTTTTGGTGGCCTTGTTGCTGGCAGGTCTGTTGTGATGAATGTAGAGGTTGTGTGAATTATTCTGTTGTACAAGGAACAATGGAAAGCAAGGCTAACAATATATCATTCGATTCGGATGAGAGCGAAAGGTGTCTGGAATTTGAAAGCTGTGATGAGCATTTATTGATTGATTATGATGAGCTTCCAAAGGACATTGATTTATGCTCACTTGAAGTTGATAAGATCATACAACAGCCTAATGCAAGCTTGCCCTTGATGGGCAATGCTGTAGAGCCATACATTGGAATGGGGTTCAAGTCTAGAGACGATGCTCGAGACTTTTATATTGCTTATGGCAGGCATTCTGGGTTCACAGTAAGGATTCATCACAACCGGCGTTCGAGGATGAATAGCATGGTTATTGGCCAAGATTTTGTTTGTTCCAGAGAGGGTTTTCGGGATAAGAAATATGTATGCAGGGAAGATAGAGTTCTTCCTCCACCACCTGTCACCAGAGAAGGCTGTGCTGCAATGCTGAGGGTAGCTTTAAGAGATGGGGAGAAGTGGGTTGTTACCAAGTTTGTAAAAGAACATAATCACAAATTAATGGCTCCAAGTAAAGTTCCATGGCGAGGATTTGGGAAAAACTTAATTCGTGAGGTATGTTTCTAATCGTCTATGATGAGATAGGAGGTTTTGTGGCATTTATGAAGTTAAGTTGAATGGGGACAGATTCTGCAATATTTTCCTTTCTGACTAATGACCTAAATCTAAGGCAGTGCCTAAGCTTGAATTCAATAACATATATGCTGCTCCGAGAACAAAATAAAAGCCCAGAGTAACAATAGGTTGTGTACAATATTTCAAAAGTATGACTGCTAAAGCAATTTTCTGTCATATCCAATTTCATAAAATAGTCGAAGTATAGAAGGAAATTTTTGAAATGCCATTTTACTTGGCTTTTATTAACTTGCTGCTGTGGATGGACCCGTATTTGTTTCATAGAAGATGAGACGATGCTTCCCAGCCTAATGCGTTGTGTTCCATTTAATTTGATTTTGATCATGTATGTTTGCCCTTATTACTTGCAGGATGAGAAGGATCAGAAAATTAGGGATCTTACAATTGAACTTAGCAATGAGAGACAGCGATGTAAACGCCGATGTGCAGCTTATCAGGAACAAATAAGTATGCTTTTGAAAGATATCCAAGAGCATAGTGATCACTTGTCAACAAGAGTTCAAGATATAGTAAGGAACATAAGAGAACTTGAGAATGAGCAATGTGTAGATTCAGAACAATAATGCCATTTGTACATTTTCCCCTTTTGAGGCTTAATATAGATGCCACTAATTTTAACATTAATTTGTCTCAGCCAATCGGATGTCAAGTTAGATAAACACCAGATGATATTGGTGTCCATTTTGTCAAGTATTTATGCTTCAGTTATCTGAATTGTTTAGCATTTATGAGAGGTAACCATTGCTCAGTTTTTTATTTTATTTTTGGGTTTCCTTAAGATGCTCCATTTTAGGAGCAATAGGCCCTTCTTAAGGCTCCATTTTAGCACAAAAGAAATTCACCAAAGCAACCAAATATTACATTTAACTAGAAACTAAGTATCTGACAATCGAATGGTGATCATAAACAATTTACAGTTGTCTCATCTTCTTTTTTTCTTTAAAAGTGAAGCAGCGCGCAGAAATATCCTATCAACCTCATCAAAATTTGGCAAGTCAGCATCTTCGTTCACTGATTTAGCCTTCTTTGAGTCCATGGATATTTGACGCAGGTGATCCTCAAAATCTTCAGGTTCTCCATCACTTTCAACCGGAAACTTTTCAAACTCTTCCAAATACAACGGTCGCTCTGCCTTCTCCTCAGTCTCCTTGTCAGAGTCAGTCTCAAAAATATCTGATAAATCTTCGGAGTCCGAAGGCATTTCTGAATCCGTTACAAGGTCATCTTCAGAGCCTCCCTTGCTTCGACCGATTATTTCTTTCAGCTTATCTGAAGGCTCCAGCTTGAAATTTGAGGAGCTCCTGGAGTCTACACTATCAATGTCAGTTTCTTGGGTTTCTTCAATAGCATCTGTTTCAATTTCAGGGTTCCTTTTAGCCTGTGCTCGAAGCAAATCAAGATCCTGTTCAAGTTTTGGAATATATTTCCTTACAGCTCGAAGGCCATCCTTATACTTCGATTTATCCAAAGCCTGTGTAGGGGAGCAGTGAACAGAAGGGAAAAAATGAGAACCAATAATGATGGACAAAATTTCAAGTATATGATCAGGGGCTCTAGTTTTAATTCCAACATCTGTCAAAAGTCTAACCATATGGCATTCATGCACATCTCTGTATACTTTTTATGCCCTTTCTTTACTGATGAGGTCCTTTAGGTACCAAAAAATGGAGGCCTAATGCAACTGATCAACCATAGTTCACAAGGAAAAATTGTTTCCAGGGCATGAGGAAGCATTGTCGTACTTATCATGCATTGATTTAAAATGTTTTACAAAAGGAGCAAGTGTGGTAGTTACTGTATGGAAAATTGATTTCAAATATGCAGTTAAAAAGCATAACCCCTTAACAGGCAGTGTCAGAAATTCAGACGGTTAATTCTAAATTTCCATGCATAAAAGAAATAAATTTAAGAAACACAGAGCAGAGAAGAACCTTCTTCCTAGAGAGAGTGACCCTAGGTGACATAATCTCTGTCGGTGGCTGAGAATAGTTCTTCCCTCTGTACATAATTATTGTGTATTCTTCATGAATGCCGAGCACAATCCCTCCGGTTAATCTTGCCAGCTCAGAAGCAATCTCCTTAACCTCCTCAGGTGAGAATGTCTTGACCACCACTTGCAGAGTTTGATGTTTCTTCCAATGCAAGTGCATGTTCAGAATCACACCCTGGTATATTCCCCGTCTTCCAACGGGCACATAATTCTTGCACTTGAGACCCATCTTCAAAAAGAAGAAGTGTTCCTCTGGTGTCAATATTTCTGGATCATGGTTTGTCTCTGATGTCTCCGAGGGCTCAATCTTCTTAAGAGCTTCAACAAGCCTTTCCTCTTTCCTTTGAGCCTGCAAAACAGCAACCACATACTATCATAACTCTCTAACGTAAGACTGCATTGGTGTCCAATTGGGTTACTTATGCCATGGAAAATGGGTTGAAATATACGCCAAAAACAACAAAAACTGTAATTAAAAAGTGGCATTTACATCAAAACCCAATACAATTTTTAGCGTGTAGAATTTTACCTTTCTCAACTTGTGGAGAATTTTTTCCTCCGCAGTCATTCTCTTATAATCCTTCTTCTTCTTCCACCTGAAGAACTTGAGCCACCTAACGACTGCTCTTTTCCCCTTGAGCTTTTTCCTCTTCACTGTAGCACTACCAGTGTCCTTAGCAACTGTGCCTTCTTTCGAATTTCCCAATGGCTCCGCAGCTTTGTGCTCTGCGTTAACACAAGGAGCTGAATGAACCCATCGATGGCCCTCCAATGGAAACCTTGTAATACCAACCAGGTCCCCAACAGCAGGCTTTTGAACAAATACCTTGCATACAACATCACCCAAGCTACTCCACTGTGAGGTCGTGATAGGAAATGCTATTTATCTCAATGTATATTTCACAAAAAGCTCCATGCTCTATGAGATTTGAGAAAGATGGGTACCTGGGTTTCTCAATATTGAGCCGATTATGAGACTTGAGAAGACGCAGTGAACGGAAGACGCTCGTCCGCGCCAGTTTCTGCATTGGGCCTGAGCTGCACGCACTTCCCTGTTTTGGAGAATCCAAAAGAACACGACTTTAGGTCATTTCGAATTTGCCCCTTTAAAAAATCAGAGGGTTTGGAAGCTTTTTAGTAGTGATAAAATTCAATTGAATTGAATTCCTTCAAGTGCGTCTTCTTCAGGCTTATTTCTATTGAACCCCAGTTTGGGACGATGAAGAAGCAGCAGCGTAAGCGGGAAACGGTGACGTTTCGAAGTTGGCCTGGCTGTCCTGTTGTGATTACCAACCGTAACAGGGTTAATATTGTCAAAACAGGAAAAACTGTAATACTAATGTTCCCCTCATTCATTTGGTTTCTTGGAAGAAAGGGAAAACGTAACCTTTGTTTTTTCCTCTTTCCTGAGTTTGGTTATGTACATAGACGTCTGATTTATAAAGATTAAAATGTTGATTTGCAATCCATATGTCGATATCATTGTCGTCAGCATTGGTGAAATATCGATTGCACATTATCAGTTCAATCTTGAATTAAAAACCGTACACGCATCTTTCGATCACTTTAACAACTATAGTGTGCACCATGAGATGAAGGATGAGGCATGAGATTGAACTGTTAATGCAAACACATGTTCTAAGCTTGATGCAATTTCACAGTTTGTAAATCAGATATCATCTCTGAAAGAAAAAAACTAAAAACTTTCACAACGATAAAATATATATATATACAACGATATTACTTGTCCCCCCTTGAAGGCGTCCTACTATATATTTCTGATCATATCAAAACATTACAAAGAAACTAACTAAAAATATGAAAATCACCCGAAGGAGAAAAAAAAAACTAGAAATGATGGTAAAAACCCACAAAGAAACGAAGGATGTTGCATTCTTTTAACATGAGATTTCAAAAGAGTACACAAACAAATAGGCTGCTCTTATGAAATCAAGTTGAACCTAAAGCTGCAAATCCACCACCTTTCATCATCTGCTTAAACTCCTTGTAATTAACCCTCCCATCTCCATCAACATCCACCTTCTTTATCATTATCTTGCAATCCTCCAATGTCCTCCCCTGCTTCAGCCCCAAAGATGACAAAACTGACCTCAACTCATCCACTGTAATGAACCCATCTCCATTTTGATCAAACACGTTGAATGCTTCCCTCATGTCCTCCTCTTCATCCCTCTCCTCCATGATCGTCTGGTACAACGCCCCGAATTCGTCTATATCCACGAACCCATCCCCGTTTAGGTCTATTTTCTCTATAATCTGGATCAAGTCCTTGTCCGGGATGTAGATCCCCAGGTTCTCTAACGAGTCCCTGAGCTCCTTCTTGGTGATCTTCCCGTCTCCGTTTCGATCAAACATCTGAAAAACTCGTTTTACCTCTGCCCTGTTGTCCATCAAACACTCTCAGAAATTGAGAAACTAATTGCCAAAATGTATAATCTGATCAGCGGTTGAGCAATTGAGCAACAGCAACAAAACCCAGATGACCAAATGTAACGCTCTCAAGGAAAATTCGAGGCTTTGATGAAGATTGTGGAGATTTGAAAGAAGGGTTGCAACGAGATATGGAAAACCCTGAAGCGATGTGGTTGGGAAAGTCGGTTTTTACTAAACTGACAACGGGTGGTGGAAGTTGTTTGGAGTTGTTGAGGAAAATGGAGGTGAAAAAACGATAAGGGTCAAAAAGTTTCTCTCCGGGTTCCAGAAACCATCGAACACGTTTGAGCGTTGGTTTTGTGGATTTTTTTCGTTGTTTGGTGGAAAAACGCGGGTTTGTACCGAAAAACATAACCGCTTCAAAGTAAACCCGCGTTTTTGCGGCATTGCGCGTATTGGATTGGTCACGAATTCTGATCCGACCGTTAAAAGCGGCGCCGTATTTTCTCAAATTAGGAGTTGGCTTTTGGTCTTGAAGACCCAAGTTTGGGCAGTCCAAGTTTGGGTGGGCCCAAAATATTAGATCCGAGTGTTGGATAATTTTCTAGAACTTGCTTATCCTTTTCGTTTTTGTTGCTTGATGTTTAAGACTCATAATAATTGTAAGAATTTAGACTCAATTTATGAGTGAGTTCAGATTACTAACATAGTGATGGGAGGATGTTCTTGTCACATATCACATTTCTAACCACTTCTCGTCATTCATGATTTGAACCGTTTTTATTGAAATAAATAAGTCGCTCTTAACCACTTGCCAAGTACATCATTTTGAACTTTCTGCCTACATTTATAACCATGTTTATAAATAAATTAACACCAGATTATACACTATGTTTTGTATGTAATTCCAATTAGAAAAAACGCTTGATATAAGATTATACATGCCCCGTATTACTTTTGGACCATATAGTTTGTCGGTTTTAACACTTCGATACTTGTAGTTTTAATTTTGTCAACTTTATACTTGTAGTTTCATTTTCGAGCAATTCAACAACACGTTTTAATTTTTGTCAAATTCCTCCGAATTTCGTTAAGTATGACAAAAACACAATTTGGAGCTCTTCCCATTCACTTCAGCCCCAATTTTGGGGCTTAGGGTTTCAACCTAAATGGACTCCAGTGGTAAGACCAGCAAATTA